AGTATATAACGCATCTTCATAAGCAATGCTGTATGTTTTCTCGGCACATAATATCGGTTTTATTGTTATGTAAAACCGTCATATTATAAAGCGTAAACAGACACTTTTTTGTTGCCTAAGATGTCAGCATTTACAGCATATTTTTGAATAATTCTTTTTTTAATAAAAAGCCCTACACTTTCGTCACGCTTTGGACTATAAGTTTTAACGCCATTAAACTTAGGTGGTTAATATTTTGGATAAAAACGCTAATGTGGGAAAGAGACTATAAGTTGCTGCCAACATCAAGGAAGCAAAGTTGTCGTCATGTCATGTCATTTTGACATTTGCTATTGATAATTTGACAGATGTAAATAATAAAATAAAATTTTCATTATTTCATGCGGATGAAGCCGCATGGGAACAGCTAGTTGTTTATAAACTGCAATTAAAAAGTACATCGACACAACTGTTTAGTCGCGCTATGATCCTTATGAGCTTCTTTGGAGGGACACTACTCGATCTTTAGTTATGCAACTAAACAGTTGAATTGGCTGCGAAACAATCGACAATCGCACAACAGTTGTGGAATAATTTAGTCAAAGATGTACGCTCTAATGACCCTTTAAATGCTTTAAGCAGTGGTGAAATAAATTTGAATGAATTGTCACTTGGTTAAGTCGATTTTGGGTGTGCAAGTAAATATATGAGGAAAATTTCATAAAAAAGTTACATCAATTTTGGTACTTTAATAAACAATTTATTCCATATCTGAAGGCCGAATATTGTACTTACATTTACCTTAAGACAGTATCTCGACATCCTAATTTGCGTAAGGTGATATTTAACAAGGATTTAGTATAAAACTATTCAAACTTTATTGCGGCTCGGAGTAAAGACTCAAAATTTAATTTTAGATATGGTCACTAGTGTTATCTTTAACATGTACTACTTGTGTGTAAAATAAGTTTTTACAATTTGTACTTAACAGCGGTAGCCCGCTTTAACGTAGGCAACAAATCTGCAATTGCGGATGTCCATTGGCAGCGATCGCTTCGCCATTTCGACGAATTCTGGTGGCCGCTTGCTCGTTTGCCACCTTATTATATAAAAAGGTTTCGTTTTCTGACTATGTTTTATATCCGCAGTGGGTCCAATTAGCATTAATATACACATACAGTAAAATGTCGAGATATTCTGACAGTGGTAGTGCCCGCTTTAACATCTTAGCACTGTAGGGCCGGCACGCCCCCAGTAATACCACGACCACACAGAAGACAGGCGTGAAATGGAACTAATTCCGTGTTTCGTCTGATGAGTGTGGTGCCGGAGGCCTAGTTTAATTCCCTTTCTCTTTACCACCCTTTTCTTATAAGGAGAGGATGGGAAGAGGAAGTGGATTTGACGGAGGAGGAGATACATACAAAGGGGAGATATCCTCTTTATGTGCGTCTCCTCCTCTGTCGGATAAGGGTAAGCAACGCATCAGCAATTGCAGATGTCTATGGATAGCGGTCGCTTTGCCATTTTGGCGGATTCAGGTATCCGCTTGCTCGTTTGCCATCTTATGTTATAAAAAAAATATTTGTATATCGCCTCCTACGTTTTAATTAAATACAATGAGAAGGAATGTATAGAGTAAAATGATTAAAAATAAAATTATTTTTTATGGAGACATGTCATTGGTTAAATAAGTACAGAAAAGAGACATAAAAAACGATGTCATTTACAATATGTTCTAATTACAATAATTTGAATTTTTCCTATTTTGTAACTTGTTAAAACCTCAAAATGTAAAAACTCCTTCAACATGGATGATTGTCGTCGGAGCCGGTAAAACGTTTGAATGTTTTAATACTTCATGAAGAAGTGAACCCTTTGATAACGATCTTGTCATAAACTGACTTAACCCGTTTCAAATACTCTATGATATCGTACTTGACATTTCACGTGGGTTTACATTGGCATTACAAAGACATTACTATATATTTATTTTTATAGATCACTAGCTGTTCCCATGCGAATTTATCCGCATGGAATTATAAAACACTTTATTTTATTGTTTACATTTGTCAAATTCTCAAAAACAAATGTCAAAATTACCGTTACCATAACCTTTCGTCCTTAATGTTGGCAGCTTGTAGTTTATGGTTCCTTTCCCACATTAAGGTTTTTATTCCCAATTTCTTTACCCCCTAAGTTTAATAGCGTGAAAATATAAAGCCTAGAAAGAGACAGCGATGTTTTAAACTGGACCTTTAGAAGCGTATTTTAGATCTTATAATCGTGTCATCATATTGAATGTTTTTATGTACCCTGTAACATGATGTAAATACAGCGCTGGCTTCAGTACGAGAGTTTTCACTTTGTGTGTGTACACGGTCTGTTTGTATTGTCGATTGCTATCTCACTGCAGTGTACGCAATTTAGTTTTTTCCTTAGGTATCGGAAATACACTTTTCCATAAGGAATAGGTAGAGCAGTTAGCAGTGCAGTACTACAGTAGAACCTCGAAAAGTTAAAGTCCAAGGGAAATACAAAATATTTTAAGTTATAGAGGTTTTAAGTTGTCGAGGGTCTATGTCGTAGATGTTTTTGGCTCTGATGGGAAGGGAACATATTATTTTTTGAAGTTATAGAGGTTTTTTGTATGTTCTTCTGTACTGTTTGAATAGTGTTTTGGTAAAAATGTTCTTTAAAAGTATTCTTAAGTATGTTCTACCCTCGTATGTTACCCTTGCAGGATGACTCCTTTAGGTATATGAATAGGTTTATGTGTGGCTGATTTTTCTTTAAATATACCAACTTTTGCTTGGTCCGTTTAAGTTATACGGAAATATGCGGCGTAACTCTTAACTTTGAGCAGATTTTTTGCGCCTTTTTGCTTCTCCGTTCCGCGTTGCACCAAACTTTAGCACTACTTATAGAGAAATGAATGTTTAAGTATGTTGGTTTGAAAATTATTCTCGTCTCGCTTTAAGTTATAACTTTAAGGTGTATTCATTTTACTGTTTTAATCGTAACATAATATTAGGTTATATTAGATTACCTTTTTTATATAAAGTGGTAAATTAACAAGCGGGTAACTTATAAGATAACTGTTACCCGAAGACATGCTACAACAAAATAAACAAAGGAATGTGTTACCTTATTGGTCAGAGAAAAGAATATATTAAAAAGAGGTTTTTCCTCCTTTCTGTATCTATTTATCCTCTTCTTTGTCCACTCTATAGACCTCCCTTATCTATAATTTACTAGATGTTTGCGTGCGGCTTCATCCGCATGAAATTATAAATTTATTGTTTGCATCTGTCAAATTCTCAATTGCAAATGTCAAAATGACATAACATATCAAACCATGGCAACCTTGCTTCCTTGATGTTGGCAACTTATGGTCTCTTTCCCACATTCGGGTTTTTATCCAAAATATTTACCTCCTAAGTTTAACGGCATGAAAATATATAGCCTAAAGCGTGAAGTATGTGTAGGACTTTTTTTTATTAAAAAAATAGTTATTTGAAAATATGCTGTGATTGCGGACATCTTAGGCAACAAAGAAGTGTATGTTTACGCTTTATTATAATAGTATAGATTAGGAAATGGAAGGAAAGGAAAAAACTGGAAGTTTAAGTTGATCTTATTGAAATTAAACTCGTATCTTAAAATTAGTAGTAAAAATTTTTTAAGAACTGACGAATTTCTGAGCAAAACCATAGTGTAATGCTAGTTAACGTCCACTTACCTGTCGACAAAGCCATGGTCCTTTACAGCACATTATAATATAAATAAACTAACACTTGTACTAGTAACAAATAGATTAACAAATTAAGAACACATTTTTGTTCCCAAACTTGTTTTATTTCGACATATTGCTTCAGATAATCTTCGGATAAATCGCGTTACATTTAAAACAGACAATAGCTATTTGTTTTGGAAAACAGTTGAGAAAGTAACGGTTATTTTGGCAGATAAATTTGTTATTTTGCCCCCTTCTCATATATAAAAAAAAACCTACAAGGGTATTGTTTTTTTTTCGGATACGTTTATGACATTTTGTAACCTGTTCGTTTTTATTAAGGTGACAGGAGGTCATCGACGCAAAATTTGCCTAAAGACAGCAAAATAAACGAATATCGATCGGTGAAAGGTTGTTTACATAACAATTTACGTCCTGTTATTTAAATAAATTTTCACTATGATATCTTAGACATTTACAAACTAAAGTCAATTTTAGCTAAAACAAATAATATATTGTGACTTAGTTTCTTACAAAAATGAATAGCAACTTTTTTCGATTATTAATTATTGCTAATATATTCTTATAGGGGATGTAAAATTTATGTGAATTTAAAACCGCTAAGAATTCAAGTTTAATAGTTATAAAAATGATAATGTTAACATGAAATTAAGGACTAGATTTTAATGGTTTTCTAAAATTATATTATCAAGAGAAAGTTTGTTTGAAATTTCGTAACAATTTTAAATTTTGCGTAACTAATTTTTATCGAGTGAACTTTTGACAGAACGTATTTTTTTACTCTATTTTTCTCTATGGATATATAACTGATAATTTACATAGATACTAAATATTTGTGGCGATTTTGAATACAGACCACTGTTTGTTATAATATACGAATGAATTTCATATTGTTGTCTCTCTTTTTCAAGGAATGTGAAAAGAATAACTATAGTTTTTGTAAAGGTAAAAACATGTTTGTATTTAACTAATCTGTAATTATAAAGATTTAATATTTCTCATTGAATTCTTATCAATTCTTTGTCGTTACATTAGAAAGCATCAACTCAATCTCAACTTCAGATCTTGTGACTCCTTTTATTCCATCTTCTATATCTTGCAAACTCTTATCCTTAGTTTCTGGTAGAATATAAAATAATACAATTAAACAGAAAGTAACACATATACTAAATATAAAATAAGTACCACCTATACCTATTTTTACCATCAGTAAAGGTACAATTTTCATTGTGATTGCGTAAAACAAAGTGAACGTAATACCAGTTGTGAGCGAACCTATAGCTCTGTGGTCCAAAGGAAATATCTCCATAGATATTGTAAAAGCGACTGGTATCAAACCAACAGTACTAACAAAACTATGTAATAATATTAAAAAAGGTGTAACCCAATTAACTAATAAAGATTCTTTTAATGCTTCAGATAAACAAACAGAGTACATCAAAGTTATAGACACGGCGCCAAATTTAAACAATATAGTTCGTCTTTTAAATATTTTTATAACTAAAGTTGATATACATAGAGCTAGAATTATTAAACAATCAGCTATTATCGAACAATATATCGCAATGTATTTGTCACCAGTTAATTCAATCATTATTTGGGTGACATAACCTAAAAGAAAATATCGTCCACTGAAATCTACTGCTATTGTTGCCAGTGTAGCGATTATAAAAGGAATTATAAAATCTCTTTTAAATAGTTTTTTAACTAACATTTTCGTATCATTTTTTTGCAATTGACTCACATTTCTTCTTTCCATTTGTGTTAATATTAATAATTTCATTTCTCGTTGACTTTCTTCAGAGTCGCCATAGTACCATTCGAACGATTTCTTACAATCAGAATATTGTCCTTTTAACGCGTAAAAATATGGACTTTCCGGACAGAATAGTATTATCAATATTGTCAAAACATGTGGGATTATTGCTATTTCAGCTATTTGCCTCCAATTATAAGAGAGAGCAAGAAAATGACATAATAACGAACCAAATGATAGGGCAGTTTTTTTTATAGTTAAGAATACTCCGCGTCTCTTACGATGTGTGAATTCGCTGATTGTAAATGCAATTACGAATATCCCAGCTATGTTAAAACCTTGTATACTTTTTGCTATTAGTAACATAGTAATACTTTTACTGAAATACATTAAAATCCATCCAATTATAATACAAATCTGAAACAGAATGTTGACAGGCTTTCTCCCTAAACTTTGTATCAACGGAGAGAAAATGAAAAATCCAATCACACCAGAAAATCCTTGGATTGAAGCTGAAACAAATGCAATTAATAAATACCAGATTCAAAACTACTACAATATTGTCAATGCAAAAGTTTGGATGAATGGATGTTGGTTAGAGTTTCTAGCTTAAACTGCTGGACGTATCTCCATGATATTTGGCATACATGTAGAGAATAATCTGGAAGAACACATAGGCTACTTACTTTTTTAATTCCATGCAGACGGAGTCGCCGGCGAAGTCTAGTTTGATATAAAATACAGCTATGATTACTTAGAGTAGCTTTTCCTATCTTTATTCCACTTTATGTGGTGTAGTTCCAACAGGTTTTTGTCTTTCAAATATTATTTCTTTTTAGTTAAATTTTCTTTTCTATTAGTTACTTACCTATCCAAGAGGCTTGATCGATCGTGGCTTTAATATCGGTGGCATTTGGAGATAAGATAGCAGCGTTGAGGGCGCTAGGGTGCGCTAAACTAATTCCTAATCCGAGTGAGTAGAAACTACCTGATGTTAATACGAGCATCTGAAAAGCGAAATCTTTGTAGGTAGAAAGTGACATCAAAGAATATGTATATATACTATTTAAGCTTTGATTGTAGGTAGAAAAAGACATCAAAGAGTAGAATTATTTAATTTTTTTTTTAAATTGGTCATTTAATTTTAAAAATAATATAATTTATTAACGACAAATACCCATATATTTTTACTATTAAACTGGAAAAAAAATACTTTTAATATTTACTTACCTGTGGCCAAAATGTTGGATCATTTGAACACCACATTTTAGGATATTTTAATTTTTTTTCACATTATTTCAAGCAGACCACTTTTATGTACCGGTAACAATTATCAATACACCTAAAGTATGTCAGAGAATTAATACATGTTAGTAAACTGCTTTAGATAATGAAATAATTAAGGAAAATTATGTGTTTCTTAAAATTATCATCCAATTTATTTTTAAACATAACTGTATAAGTTATGGCCATATTTTGTAGTAAATATTAAATTTAACGTATAGGCAGTTCAAGTAATAGAAGTAAAACTAACTGTACGCATTATTATTTTTAATATATCTATACTATTATAAAGAGGAAAGATATGTATTTTCATATGTATAGAAATAACTCAAAAACTACTGAGCCGATTTTATAAATTCTTTCACCGTTAGAAAGGTAATTTATCTGTGAGTAACACACATGTTTTTTTATTATTTGTTTCTGCTCTAATCGACGGAAAACCGTATTTCTTTGTAATAAGCTGTTAAGGGTATTGATGTATCAAAAATTTTCATACAAAATAAAAAAGGTAGAAAGCGATGAAAGCTAGATAAAAAGGAAAATACGATTTCTCGTTTAGATTCATTTTATCTGAATATATTTAGAATATTCATTGAATCGGAAAGATATCCACGAATTGAGATCTTATTAGAGATTTATCCGATATTTTGCATTAAAGTGTACACTGGGGAGCAAAAATACTGTTCTATTTTCTATTCAAGTTATTAAGAACGATCTCTAAAATTAAGAATACGAATTATTCATTAGAAAATCTAAATTTTAATATGTATTAAGGTTTGCTCTGCGTTTGTATAGAAACAATAGAATGGAACATTGTTATCTGTCTGTAGGGTTGTTTGTGATTGAAACAAAAAAACTAGTTATTAAAAAATGTATATTTTAGAAGATACATTCACTTATTATCTTTTTTAATATCTATCAAGGTTTACCAACTTGTTTGTAAATACCTGTGTGTAAAGGGGCCAGCTGAAAACCAGCGCAGGAACGGTCTGCGCCGTCTCTGCATTAGCTGAGCTTGCCGGCTTTTTCCCACATTTTTTTTTACTGGCTTTAAGTTTAATGTATGTAAGATTTCATTTGTAGCTTGTTTTTGTATAATAAAAGTCCTATTTATTAATTTGTTTATTTATTTATTTATTTATTTATTTATTTATTTATTTATTTATTTATTTATTTATTTATTTATTTATTTATTTATTTATTTATTTATTTATGTAAGTCTAACGATTCAATGTATTTATTTGTTTACAATTCAACGTACATCGCCATATTAGAAACGCCACATGTGTTTAAACCTCGACGTATTCTGAAACAAAATGATCTATACTATTGTAATAAAGCCTAAACTCACTTCTTTGTTGCCTAAGATGTTAGCAATGACAGCATATTTTTGAACAAACCTTTATTTAATAAAAAGCCCTACACTTACGTCACGCTAGGCTATATATTTTCACGCCATCAAACTTAGAGGGTAAATATTTTGGATAAAAACCCTAATAAAGAGACCATAAGTCGCTGCCAACATCGAGAAAGCAAGATTGCCAAGGTTTGTCATTTTGAGATATGGTATTGATAATTTGACAAATGTAAACAATAAAATAAAAATTTCATAATTTCATGCGATGAAGCCGCACGGGAACAGCTAGTTATTAAATAATGCACTAGCAATCCTAGCTTTAGTATTCTTATTGTAATATTTGTACAAAAACTATTAAAAAATAAATAAATAATAACTTGAAACGTTTTTTTTTTAAATCGTGGGTGATGTGTGTCTTACCTGATATACCCGTCTTCCCCCCACTTCCGGCCCCACCAGTTAAGCAGCAACCAGTACTGGGGTGTGTATCCCACAAGCAGCATAGCATGGTTCATACGCCACGGCACGCAGAAGGGATCGTCGTAGATACCGCTCCTGTAAATATACTTAATTCTAAAAAAAGCTGAATTTAGGAAATGTCTGAGTCAAAGGCAAGACAAAACAAACCAGGATCTATCGCCTTTGTCGTTTTATCTCAACTTACAATGGGGAAACTATTTTTGTCTTGACGATGTTTGGCGTTCCCTAACTTCGGCACTATCTATCTGCGTTTTTAATATAAAAAACAAGACCACAAAGATTTACAGGAATAAATACAATAAATTATTCTCTCCTAGCTTCCATCATAATTACCTATAAAGCTGGAATGTAATAGGCGCAGCATTTACAGCAACAGCGAGTGGGCCAATGTTGGCCAGAGCGCTTTCAATTGCCGCTTCATTACGCGCCGGCAGCGCCGCCCAGCGGCGAGGGCGTACACGAACTGTTCCCCAACTGTGGCAACGACCTTTCTAGAAGAGAGTAGCCACAGAACATTTAACGTTACTTACGATCATAAACAGCTGAAAGCGATCTAGAAGTGATTATTTTTTTTAGCCTATAAGCAGATGTCGGTTGTTATACCTTCCCACGGTATGGGTATTTCGTTTCTCTGGCTAGTCCCTCCCTGGCTGCGTATCTGAAGGCAGCCTGTAAAGAGCCACCATTGCAGCCCTGGTTGCCATCTTCATAGCTGCAGTCCACTATCTGTTGAGGACTGTGAACACAGTCGATTTTGTTGTGTAATGGACGACCAAGTAAAAAAGTGATCTACACTAGCGCCACTTAGATTAAAATCTACATAAGCTATGCTAAAATTATCCTTATTAGAATTTTTGATACCTCAGTTCATCCCATTTTCTATGTTTGTTGTAGAGTTGCGCTTGAATCGCGTGTGTAACAGCGAAGGCGTAGCACGCGCCGCACCGCCATTGTTCCTCGCGACGTGGTTTGAAGCCCAGGTCACGCCAGTCCAACTATATAGAGATAATACATACAGATTGAGAGGTTAAATTCCTGCAAATGAGACAACTACAAAGAGGGTTTGAAAGGTCCCGCTTAACTCCACCGACCTCGATTACAATAAGCAAATAACATTTTTAATTATTTAGGTATGGAAGAGTACACCGGTACAGGTAGACCTAGAAAGAGATGGATGGATTGCGTGAAAGGTGACACGATCAAGAAGGGAGTGATGACTAAGATGACAGATTATAGAGTTACGTAGAGACCCTACGGGAGTAGGATAAGAAGGAAGATGATGATTTTTTAACTTTAGTTATCTTTGGAACTTCTTGATACTTTCTACCCGACTAAGGAAGTTATTTTTAATTTATTATTTAAAGGGCCTGACTTAAGAAGAAATTATTGCGTTACAATCGTATTATAACTTACCGATCTTGGTACTTTATGATGGCGGAAACTTCTATACCCGACTCTACTATAGTCTCTAGCTGGATCAAACAGAGGGATTGTAGATATTTGTAGCTTCAAGATTCCACTAATGTAATCGTTTACATGCTGAAATAAAAATACAGGAATATTTTTTTTACGATTTATGGTGTCGAAAGCGGTCACTGGAGGGGACGCACGGAAAGATTTTTCCCCCTACTTATGCGTCCAATCCGACTCCAAATTCTTGTACGAAAAGGGTGGAAAAGGGAAGAGGTCTAAAATTAGGCCTCAAGCACCTGGACAGTGGACAAAATGCGGTTGCGGTGGTTGTGGTATTACACTACCTACCACAGTTAAAAATAATTACCATACTAAAGTTAATATTTACTTCTAAAGCAGTAGAAATTACATATGTCGGGTTTCAAAGGATGTGAAATAAATAAAACAAAAATGAAAAGATAACTTAAGAACTTTTTAGATAAGACTAGCTTTCGCCTGCGACTCCGTCCGCGTGGAATTAAAAAAAAACAAAACCAAGTAGCCTATGTGTTTTTCCAGACTATCCTCTACATCCTTATCAAATTTCATCGAAAGCGGTTTAGCCGTTTAGGCTACAAACTCTAACAAACATCCATCCATCCATCCATCCATCTAAACTTTCGCATTTATAATATTATAGTATGATTAGTATGATAGTTTGAAACTAAATTGATCTAATAATCAAACTATGCCTAACTTGTAAGACGTTGTTTTAACCTTTTTTTACTTACTATAACTAAATCATACTAATATTGTAAATGCGAAAGTTAAGATGAATGGATGTTTGTTACAGTTTGTAGCCTTAACGGCTGAACGGATTTCGATGAAATTTGGCATAGACTTAGAGGACAGTCAGGAAGAACACTTATGCTACTCAGTTTAAATTCTATGCGGACGGAGTCGCGGGCGAAAGTAATTAAATAAATAAGATTGCATAGACTTACCCAATCTCCGAAATGGTTTAGTTGCAAGGAATAAGATATCTTCCCGGATAAATATTCTCTGTTATGTTTCGCCACAAGTTGCAGGTTTTGGAGCCAAGTTGTTTTAGCTACTGTCTCATGATGGTTAGTTTCGTATGATTTATTGAATACTGTCTATAATAAAACAACTGTTAGATATATAACTTTAAACTGTCGTGGTTTTTACAAATGTAATGTTCGTAACTCAAACGTTCACGGGCTGACTCAACAGTCAGTGAACATGCCGCATACAACTGTGCCGAAACATCGGGAGCTAAAACAATTCACGCGTGGTAAGAAACCCGTATCTTACGAGCATTACAATTGTTAGATAACTTCTTTTAGGAACCGTTAAATTTGTTAGTAGGTAAACATTTATAGTCTGTAGGAGACAGGCTTATAGTCTTTGTTTAATTCCACATGTAAGCAGTCATACTAACATTAAATTATAAATGCGAAAGTTTAGATGGATGGATGGATAGATGGATGTTTGTTAGCGTTTGTAGCCTAAACGGCTGATCGGATCTCCATGAAATTTGGCACAGGTTTAGAGCATAGTCTGGAAGAACACATAGACTACTTTTTATTCCGGAAATAGTTACGGTTCCCGTGGGATTCATTAATTTAGTTTTTTAATGTTTACTCGATCATTCTGCAACAGTTCAACATATCTTATTGAAATTTGGCACAGATATAAAACAAAGTCTGAAGTACACATGGGATAAGCTTCATCCCCGAGAAATGTCCGGTTCCCGAATACGTAGCTTTTTGTAATTTATATAGTTCGTATGTTTTCTAATACCACGCGGACGAAGTCGCGGGCAACAGCTCGTACTAACATAAATGCGAAAGTTTAGATGAATGTTTGTTAGTTTGTAGCCTAAACTACTAAACGGATTTCGATGAAATTTGGCCTAGATGTAGAGGACCGTCTGGAAGAACACATAGGCTATTTATTTTTGTTTATTCTCGGGCGTAAGTTAGTAATAAAAATCTTACTTTGTACTCCATCCAATGTTCTTCGGGTACATCTTCATGTATCAATAAACTGCTTACATGTTTTTCTAAATGTTTTACTCTCAGACCACATTTACTTACGTTATAATTGTTTAGAATATCACCAAATCTTTCATTTTTTATTAAAAAATTCACAGTTTTGTTCACAAAATTATCAATTTCCAGGTCGCATCTTCGTTGTCTTATTTTATATTGATTTAAAATAGATTTAATTTTATCTGTGCCTTCTTTTAATTTTAAATTACAATTTACTAAAGTTATTTGTATTAATATGTGGATTAAATTCATTTTTACTTTTTGAGGTTATAATGTAACTAATTTAGATTATATGTGGACTGTAATGTTATTGGAAAGTAATTCGATATTTAGCCGAGTAAGCTAAAATATGCAACATATTTATTACGAGTTCATTGTCTCAATGTTGTCTCTTTCTTTCCAAAGAGAATGAAAAGGACGGCAATATTTTGACTCAACATATTACTAATATTATAAATGCGAAAGTTTAGATGGATGTTTGTTAGTTTGTAGCCTAAACTGAACGGATCTCGATGAAATGTGGATGTAGAGGATAGTCTGGAAGAATACAACATACTTACTACATTAGAAGCTCGATAAGTTAAAGTCCAAGGGAAACAAAATATTTTAAGTTATAGAGGTTTTAAGTTATCAAGGGTCTATGTTGTAGAGGGTTTGGGCTCTGATGGGAAGGGAACATATTGTTTTTTAAAGTTATAGCGGTTTAAAGTTACCAAGGTTTGAGTTATCGAGGTTCTACTTATTTTTTTATTACACGCGGAAGTCACGTGCGTAAGCTAGTTTAGTATTGTTAAGTTTTAATTTATAGTAACTATACCCATGTGGTCAGGCGATAATCTAGGCTAAGTCTAGATGGTACTTTTTAATATTTTTTTTTATTTATAGACTTTTTAATTTTTTATGTCTATGGAGAGGAACTACTGGGGGTTAAAGTATGTAAAAAGAACAAAAATAAAATATGATAATACATTTACTAAATCTTTCCATCTATTTACAAAATTTCTAGTCATAAAACAATATTTATAATTTACTAACGGCCTAATACTGAAACGACATTAACTGTGTCATAATAAATCCAAATTCCATTGAAATTCTGATCTGTCAGATTGCAAACATTTTTTGAAGTCGAGTTGGTTTCAGTATTCGACCGTAATTTTGTCAAAATGACGCTTGGATTGTTAATTTAAAATATCTCTTAGTGTCATATAGGTTTTCATTGAAATTTTTACACTAAAATAAAAATGGGACAAGAGATGTCCTAAAATTGTAATTTTAAGAATATATAATCAATAGAGTTTTTATTTTTTTATGATTGCGTTATTCCAAAGCGCCATTTCAATCTATATATTTTATACATTTGACAATAGAAGAATGAATGGCGTGGCTGAAATCATATTTAAAAATAAATGCAAACGAACTATTTACACCATTTAAAATTATAATAAAAAACGAAAAAAATTCTCTACTTACAACTAATAACAAATACAATCTAATAATACTCAGTTAATACCCTAAAATAAAACTGCAAAGGGATAAAGTTATAAGGTTTTAAAATAACTTATCTGCTCGGAACATTGGGCCATAAAGATATTTGAAAAGTTGTACACGAGTTTATTCAAAGTTAACATATCCAAAAGAAACATTAATAATGTCTCTTCGTATACGTTTAATAACCATATTTATAATCTCAGAAATAAATTCCTTTTAAGAGCTCAATATTATAAAATTGCTATATTAAAAGTGATTGTATAACCCATCTGTCGAAAGAGTTACATCTCTCCAGAGACATTTTCTAAAGAGGCTCTCCGGAGACATCTCCAGAGAGTCTCTCTCCAGATACATTCTCCAAAGCGACTGTCTCCAAGAGCTCTCTCCGGAGAGACTCTCTCCAGATACATTCTCCAAAGCGACTGTCTCCAAGAGCTCTCTCCGGAGAGACTCTCTCCAGATACACTCTTCAAAGGCTATCTCCAAAGACTCTCTTCAGATACACTCTCCAAAGAGTCTCCAGAGAGATTCTCTCCAGAAAGTCGCTCTACAGAGATGTAACTGTTTAAATCAGAAGGCTCTTTTACAATAAAATCTAACTAAACTGCGAAAATTAACAATATTTAACTGTTACCGGTTTTAAAATTAAGAAATATGATTTCAGAACGCCATATTACTGATATTACATTGTTAATAACTTGTATTGAATATGTCTGTTATACAAGTTTTTTGACAAATCTGTATATTGCTTTGAAAGAAAATTGAGCTATAGATTAACTAAATATCAATATATTTAAATAAATCACGATACTGAAATGTATTTAACATGATAAGGCAACCCTTAACTCCAAATTAAATTACATTTTTGACATCTGATTGTAAGCGGCAATTGCGAAGCATTTAATATTACTTTCAGTACTCGACAGTTATTTAATTATAATTAAATATGTTAGCTAAATCACTTGCCCAAAAGTGTTTATAAAGTCAATATACAGGATGTTATTTTTATGGTGCAAATATATTTGGAGATTGTAAGAGAAAAGACGTCAAATCACAGCCATACTGAACAGAAAAATGTATTCATAAAAAAATAAAAGACAATTGAAATTGAGAATCTTTACGTTAAGAAATTTATGATATTTTCTGTCACACTCTATATAGCTATCTCTTTTCATTCGTAACTCTATATTTGAAAGAAATATTTGCACCGGTTTGTATTCCCGTAATTATTTTAATCACTTGATAATAGTATATTTTCTCTTATTTCTATTTATATACACAAAAATACATATTCTTCACAGCATTTGACAGAACTGACACTAAACAGTTAAACCAAAAATGTGTTTAAAATTATACAGCGTCAACCCCTACCATTTACTTCTCGATCAAACTAACTAAACTCGAACCTTACTCAGCAATTTGATTGCTTTTAATAATGCATTATAAGTTCTCACGTTGGTTATTTTTTTAAATAGTTACTAAAAGCTTTAAATTGAAAAGATGTACCGGTTACTTCCATATTAAATCGTAATTTTTAATACCAGAAAAGTTAACTAAGATAACATTTTCGTTTGATTCGTCGACAAGATAGAATTCAAATACAAAAGATAATTGTAGTTTATACGTGAGAACTTATATTAAATCTAGTAATACCATAAACCAGTTATTCTTTCGCTAATTTTATAAATACAATTCGAGTTACCATGGTAGGGGTGATTTCCAATTCACCGCTGTCTCGGGTTCGATGATCCGTTCATACTTCTCAATTCTGTGTACGGTCTCCGCGACAACAACTTGAGATCCTCCCCTCCGGTCAGGGTAATATAGTCCTTCCTCTTCCAGTATACCATAAGTCTGTAATAGGAAAAGTTTACGATCAGAAAAAATACAGAAATAAGATCGTGGATGGCTACAAAGGAAGAGGAAGACCGAGGAAAGTATGGATGGATTGTGTGAAAGAGGAAAGGAGTGGATTCAGATATGACGGCTGATAGAGATGTATGGAAGAGCAGCACATACTGTGCCGACCCTCCGTAAGGGATAAGGGCAAGTGGATGATGACGTCTAACCATACGGGATCACCTTTAACCCTCAAATACCTGAAGTTTCTTTGATATCGGGATAATCGATTTTATTTTAATATTAAGCTTGATGTTACCTTTGACTGATAATCTTCAAGTTAGAAAACAAAACGGAGCATATCACAAAATAAATAAAAATAACGTTTTTTTTTTAACTTTTTTTCCCCCTTTAGTAAAAATAAGTAAAGGGTATACTTATTCATTTTGTAATACGATATAAAAAATCAGGTTTTGAGGGTTGATAGTATTAGAATTTTCCCTACTAGGGGTTTGGAGAAATTAAGACGTAAAAAGTTAGGTAGGTATGGGCATGTTATGAGGAAAGAATCGCATGTAACAAGAAAGACGTTAGTTATGAGGGTACACCGATAGAGGTAGAAATAGAAAGAGATGGATTGCGTGAAAAGTGACATGATCAAGAAGGGAGTGACTGAGATGACGGATAGAGTTATTTGGAGGATGAGAAAACGCCCTATGGGAGTAGGATAAAGTAGGGTGATAAGTATTTTTCTACTCTAAAGGGTATTGACTTAGTTGTTTGATATTAAAAATATTTGTCTTATCATATAGATAAAAATATACACTTAGGGCCTGTCCCACCAAAATTGTAAATTGTCTGATAACAATCCAACTTGTAAAATATGTGATCGATATATCGGATTTTATTCTTATCTGACAGTGACTTCATTAAATGTCAGACTATGTTCTTTTTGAACAGTGACGTCATTTATGAGCTATCTGTGCTATCAGCCAGTTGTGGGACAAGCCATAATTATAAATGAGGCACATTAAAATTCTTGAAACTAATCTATTCATCAAGACTAATATAATAAAGCGTAAACACACACTTCTTTGCTGCCTAAGATGTCAGCAATCACAACATATTTTCTAATAACTCTTCTTTAAATAAAAAGCCCTACATTTACATCACGCTTTAGGCTATATATTTTTACGACGTTAAACTTACGGATAAATATTTAGGATAAAAATCCTAATGTGGGAAAGATACCATAAGTTATTGCCAACATCAAGGAAGCAAGGTTGTCATGGTTTGTCATCGTCATGCCATTATGACATTTGCAATTGATAATTTGAATAATGTGAACAATAAAAAGATTTTTTTATAATTATATGCGGTTGAAGTCGCATGGGAACAGCTAGTATTTGATCAAATTGATTTGTAATTAATATTCTAATGGTTACATTTCAATATAATGAATTCTTTAACGTGGATAAGACCAATAATAGTTATAATGAATAATATTAGATAAAATGATTACTGTAATAAACCTCTTGATATACAGTGTATTACTCATTTATCTGTCATTAACCATATTTATTTCTATACTATTATAATAAAGCGTAAACACACACTTCTTTGTTGCCTAAGATGTCAGCAATAACAGCATATTTTTGAATAATTCTTTCTTTAATAAAAAGCCCTACACTTACGACACGCTTTAGGCTATATATTTTCACGCTATTAAACTTAGGAGGAAAATCATTTGAAAAAAACTTTCACGTTGGAAAGGGACCATAAACAAGCTGCCAATATTAAGGAAGCAATGTTTTTATGGTTCCGTATTTAGACATTTGCAATTGAGAATTTGACAAATGTAAACAATACAATATCTTTGATGTGGATGAAGCCGCACGGGAACAGCTAGTCTTATATAAAATACATGTTTTTGTATAACAGAAGAACGCGAAAATCGATTTTCTTTTTTCCTCACATATCGAAAATATGACCTATCGTTTAAAAGTCGATTAATTTGTAGTCGTTTTCATACAAAATATTCTATAGATTTATTATTGGGTTCTTAAGTGGTAAAGTAATATATGAAATATAAAGAGATAAATAACAAGAAAGAATCATCAACAGCTCACTATACGTCCCCACCGAGGGGCTCGGAACCTATCCTAAGCAAGGGGTAACTAGGCCATAGTCAACCACGCTGGCCAAGTGCGGGTTGGTTGACTTCACACATATCTTTGAATTTCTTCGCCGATATGTGCAGGTTGCATCACGATGTTTTCCTTCACCGTAAGAACGTCGGGTAAATTATGTACGAAAAATCGAAAATCACATTGTACAGCGGGATTCGAACCCAAGACCGACCTAAGTGTAGATTACAAGTCAAGTGCCTAAACCACTGAGTCACCGACGCTCTCAAGGAAGAATAACTCTAGTTTAAATCTTCAAACGCAAATGGAATTAAAATACTAGGCCATTCCGCCATAATTACCCGCATATTACAGATAAGAAATAGTTTAAAAACTAGTAAACGCCCCTAGAACTTAGATAATATATTTACACAGGTTCATGCACATTCTCAATTAAAATGAATATTTACGTATACAAAAGAGATCTTTATGTCTTGCATTTAAGTCGTAATTCCTTTGAAATACGATAAACAAGTCAATGTAAACAGACTGTTTATGCACAGATGTCTTTTATCTCTTTGATACAGACAATAAAACCTCTTTAGTGATTAAAACGATTTTTATTACTGGCTGGAAAGATAGATATATTTTTATTTAACATAGATTTAAAACGGTGGCATATAAAAATCTACATTTTAATATTTTACTTCTTACTAATAATATAAATGCAAAAGTTTAGATGGGTGAATGTTTGTTAGAGTTTGTAGAGGATCGTATGGCACATAGGTTACTTTTGTTTTAGTTAAATCTCCGCGCGGACGGAGTCGGGGGCGAAAGCTAGTATGCAAGTTGCACTTATGAAGATTATTTGTCAGCCGATCAGAATCTATCAAGTCAAAGGTTAACACAAAGATAGAGAGTCGTGGGCGTATCCATTGTCGTACTTTATAAATGACGGTTGACGGGTAGCAACGGAAACGGAGCAGTATTAAATGTTAAGATACTAGAAAAAAAGTTAAACCGTATTTTATAGTTTGATCCAATCTAAGAAGAAAATAAACAAAAAAGTTTTTTTACGCTTTGTGAATAAAAAAATTGTTATGAAAAATTTATTTTTCTCAAACTAAACTATCTAAATTACTATAACGTTTAGAATAAGTAATATTTTTTTAATTAGTTTCGTTTCCATACGATAATTTTTAAAAAAATGTCACTATAAAATATAACACCCTATATAAAACATCCTGTATACACTATATAGGTGAAATAATTGGTACTGTCGCACAATGCGCGTGCGCGTTCAAATCTGTGGATTATATTCAGTTCTATTCAGACCGCTGAAGTGAACGGTGCAGTTAAGGCTTCACTATTAAACGGAATAATGGAATAAAGCTGGAAGGAATTTAGTCAATCTTTTTAAAGCTAAAATAACAAACAAGGTAATTTTTTTCTTTTTTTGTAAATCAGTTTAAGGATTAATATTTCGTCTGAAAGGATTTTTTCTTTTATTAGTTTATTTCAGACTTTAAAAGGATTACGTCGTTTAGATGTAAATAGTCAGTAATTAACATAATGCAATTGTCTAGTATTCAGTTATACAGGGATGTACTTTTTGTGATTTCATTTTTTTACATTTTTCAATGGATTTTTTTGGCGATGAAAATAATAATTTTTAATTATAAATATAAATCATAATTTCATTTAATGCAATTTTTATATAAATGCGTTTTTCCGCTACAAAATTAAAAGATTCATCATCATCACCAGCTCACTATATGTCCCCACCGAGGGGCTCGGAGCCTACCCTAAAGTTAGGGTGACTAGGCCATTAGTCAACCACGCTGGCCAAGTGCGGGTTGGTTGACTTCACACATATCTTTGAATTTCTTCGCCGATATGTGCAGGTTGCATCACGATGTTTTCCTTCACCGTAAGAACGTCGGGTAAATTATGTACATATGAAAATTCGAAAAATCGAAAATCACATTGGTACATGGCGGGATTCGAACCCAAGACCTGTAGATTACAAGTCAAGTGTTCAAACCACTGAGCCACCGACGCTCAAAAGATTTACTAGGTTAAAAAAATTTAAAACGTTATCTGTAAAAAGTTATTTGTAATTAACAAAATTTGCATTAGAGCGTGTATTTAAACCGTACAGTTGTATATTTTTAACCATATAAAATGTTACTTTTTCAGATTTTTCTAAGGATGTAACCAAGTTATTCAAGTAAGCAGTTACTTAATCTATCACTAAATAAACATTGAGCCGTTTCGTGTTTTATTTTCCGATACGTACAATTTAATCCATATACAGGGTGTAAATTTATGTTTCAATGTGGAAGTCCATAACATCAATACTCAATAGAAAATTTTAATAACCTCACATCTATTGATGTACTCTAAAAAAAACTGGACTAATTCGGAATTTGTCTATGATTTACAAATATTTGAACCCACATTTATTCTTACATCCTGTATATTGGTGTTATTTTCCTAAACGTCGTCTGAAGTCGTTTTTGATTATCTTTAGTCATTTCTGTTGTCACTTCCTAATTGTTTAAATGTATTAGAGCCTTATGTTTGACAAATTTATTGAAAATTATTACCTCTATCTCTTAGTAGATATTAAATAAAATAACGTAATCATAAGAACACGTTAAGATTAACTTCAGGTTTTAAAAACTATTGAAAACAAATCTGAAATATGAAAAGGAAAAAATACTTTAATTTGAATATAATATTGTTATAAAATTATGACTAACTGAAGAATGAATTAACCAATAATAATTTGAATCATGGGAATTCCAGAAAAACAATTCCTGGAATTTAACGTATAATGGTTACATTGATGGGAAATCCTTCAACAGAAAATCCTTCCTTCAAGTCAACAGACCATGAAATGTGGCTGGTATAAGTTGGCACGAAGGATACATGACTAGTCTTGCATTTAATGTGTCAACATTACAAGGTATAGTAAGATAGGAACCTACGAACTAAATGAACTCCTGATTTACTGTAAACATTAATTATTTGACAACCAGTTGATTACTAGTTTCAATAGCAACAAATAAAATTGACGCCAACAGAAAATTTAAGGAAATTTCAGAATCAAGTTTTCACACGAAGCAACAATTATTACAAAAGATTATTATGGAATTAGAAAACCAGAAAGTGTTAAGAATAAATGTGAATGGCTACAAAGGAAGAGGAAGACCGAAGAAAGTATGGATGGATTGTGTGAAAGAGGATATGCTTAAGAAAGGAGTGGATTCAGATATGGCTGATAGAGATGTATGGAAGAGCAGCACATACTGTGCCGACCCTCCGTAAGGGATAAGGGCAAGTGGATGATGATCAGAAAACATTATAATCTTAAGGATAATTTAGCACTTAGAGAAGTTATTAAATAAGTAAATACAAGCTTTTGCCCTCAACTCCGTTCATGCGGAATTAACAAAACTTAAACATTTCTTCTATGTTCTACATCTGTGCTTTTCGTCAGTATTTGTTAAGCTGTTCCGGAGAGACCTAAGATCTAACAAACTTCGTAAGAATAAATGTCTACTAATGTAGCCAACGTATAAACATCTGAACAATCTTTTAGTTATGAATATAGAGGGGTGGAGGTAGACCTAGAAAAGAAGGATGGATTGAAAGGTGATATGGTCAAGAAGGGACTGATGACTGAGATGATGGATGATAGACTTATTTGGAGTAGAATAAGGTAGGGGTGATGATGATAAACCATTTGAACAACAAAACAAAAGATCCTAAGAGTATTCAGTTGCTAATAATGAAAATTAAAGTAATATTTCAACATTATTTGTAAAGATAGTTCAGAACACCAATGACGTCATACAAAACACAAAAGGCTGTATTTGTATGAAAACAGATAAAGCCAACAAAGCGTGACAAGGTTGCAGGAATTCAAACTATACAAGCTATTATGGACTCTACTAGTATGAGGACACGTTATAGAATTGTTTACAGTAAGTAGTGATTGTACATTTAGATAAGGGTTGGTACAAGTCATGGGCGTTTTCATACGATGATTCAGAGCGGGAGTAAACGCTTAATTATTAGTAGGCTAGTATTAAAAAAGTACTTTTTTCAATATTAAGGCAATGCTTATAAACATGTACAATATTTCAATTAAAAACTGACAAGTAGTTTTTAGGGCTCTTTGTGGGGTTGTAGGCATTATTTTGAATGAAGTTATGTATTTATGTTTACAATTTTCCACTATCTAGGGAGAGGTCAGCTACGAATTCCTGCACCCCCTTGGCGATGGACGTGTTTCAAAGTATTTTTTACTTTAATTATTTGTAGGTATTGGATATAATGGTTTCATAGGTAAGTGGGCTGAGTTACAGGAGAGAAAGAGAACCAAAAAATGAAAGTCTACGTCTTTTAAATTGAACAATGATATTTATATTTTTTTAAAAAAGAAAAGAAAACATTGGATATCATAATTTTTACTTACACCACTCAAAACAAGACGAGCTTTCTAACGAGCTAGTTGTTTCAGTCGAGTTTTATAAAAATCTATCGCTAAAAATCGCTACTCGTCTGTATTTTGACACACGAGTAGACTACTGGTAGAATGACTAGACAATGGCGGCCTTGTCCTGTCTTGTAATTATGTAAGCATGCATTTGACATCGCCCCTTGATTGTTCCCATTGGGAGATCGAATACTAGTACAGATAATAATGAAATTTCATTGAAATTACGGATAATTCAGAGAGTTTCAACTAACAGTGTTTGGAAACATTATAAAGAGATAATCACTATTAAAAAAAATTATGAATCAATAGACAAGATATTACGAAATACGTAGAGTTTCGGATGTCTATTTAGACATCACCATGGCTACCAACGAAAAACTTAAAATATTTTAAATGTCGTAATGTCCGCTCTATAATTTACTCTTTGGAAAACTCACAGCTTTATAGTCTTTGATTGTATTCATAAACTTAACAAATAGACTAATTAAACACCGATATCTTTCTCATTTATTTTTTTATGCAGCTTTTTATTGCAGTTCAATACAATTTAACCTTCAATGAAGTGATTGTAACAATAATACACTAATAAATAAAAAAAATAACCTTTCAATCGATTTATTTTATGTAGCAAATTGTAAGTAAAAATATAAGAGCGGACGATTTGAGTAAACTATCGCAGAACTGTTATGCGATTGTGTATTTTCCGCAGCAAATTCGACAGTTCAGTTGCACAAACAAAAATCGAGTAGTGTGCGCACCTCATAAGCTCATAAGAATCAAAGTGCGACTAAACAGTTGTGCGATAGTTTAGTCTATTGTGTACACGGTCTAAGAAACGACAATCGTTAAAGAACTTTAATTTATGTTTAATTTTGTGACGTTAAAAATTGCGGGAATATGACGTAAATTAAATATGGCGACCTTGACAGTAACAATGGCGAGACGGGACAACGCGACATTGCAGTACCTTACTACCTCGGAGTTATAAGCTAGATTTATTACAGGAAACTGTTAGATAGACTTGCACATGCAATCTGACGTCACACTGCACGTACAGTCAGAGACACTGGCGGTCCACCTTAATAATAATCCTTTGAACATTTTGAAACGAGTCGCGAAACAAAAACCACACAGAAAACAGGCGAGAAGTGGAATGTGAGGATGTAAGTGTGGTACTGGAGGCCTAATTTTATTCCCTTTACCTTTCCACCCTTTTCTAAAGAGGATGGGAAGGAAATGTGGATTTGACGGTGGAGGAGACGCATAGGAAAGGGAAATGTGCTCTTTATGTGCGTCTCCTCCGTCAATTAAGGGTAGGCAACGCATCTACAATTACGGATGTTTATGGGCAGCGGTAGCTTTCCATTTCGGTGAATTCAGGCCGCTTGCTCGTTTGCCACCTTATATTACAAAAAAAGACAACACAAACTTCTGTCCGAACAAAAGCCAATTAGTGAGACACGGCAATCAGTGTAACATAAGTTTTTTTTCTGCACTGGTTTATTATATGATTATTTTTTTTAAATCACATGATATAGTAAATAATCTATCAGATATTAGCAACAACTGTACACGGAACATTGTTATTGAATAACGACTTCTATCTACCCGACTATAAAACCGGAATTATCTGAACAAGGAAGATCCGTAATTGAATCTACATGGAACTTACGTCTGAGTATACGTGGAGAGATTTTCTAGAAGATTCGATAGTTGTATGTGAATAAATATTTGTATTAAAAATTTGTTCTTAATTATATATTTCTTGTGTATTATTTACTTTTGGAATGTTAGAATGTTGGTTGGCTAAAAAAAATAATTCCATGAGACTAGATTTATGGACGTATAATTTATTAGTTTTGGTCCGAGTAGAGATAAAAAAAAAACAAAGTAGTCTACGTGTTCTTCCAGACTATGCTCTACATCTATGACTGTCAACGAGATCTATTCAGCAGTTTATACTACAAACTCTAACATCCATCTATCTGATGGACTCAAGGAGCTGAAGCGCAGATTGTAAGCAGGAAAAGCATAATTGCTGAGACCGCCCCCACGATGTAATACTTGACGGTAGTTCCGTGGGGGCACAAAAAAGTCCATAGAGAGGGTTGTTTAGTCGGTAACGGGACTCAGGTTAGGTGAATACTAATAAGCCTGAGCCGCAACACCAGACATGTAACTCCCATGTCTGACGGCTATAAAGCATTTTTCCCTCTATAAAAAAAAATCTATCTAAACTTTCGGATTTATAACATTAGTAAGAAGTTAGATTATTATAAACTGTGAAATTATATCTGAAATAGTAAATAAATGATTCTAGTAAAATAGAAGAATATACAATAGTTTTATTTATTTAAAGGAAACTTTAAGAGTAAAGTTATTCCTAAATATAAGAGGTCATAATTTACAATATTTTAAAGATAATACAAAGATTATAATAAAATAGACAATTGCACTAACAGTTTTTACAACTAAATACATCTAAGTAGGCTAAAAAGCAGATTTTTCGAATTATCCCCAACCGTTTTCCCGCTCTGTCCCCTCATGGGGACAGATGAGAATAAAAAGTTTCATCCGTCCCACCTTTTATTCCCCTACCACCAATAAGGTGACAGATGAAACTATTAAGATATAAAATAAGTCGCAAAACAGGTGGGACAGATACGTTTTATTCTCGTCTGTCCCACGCGGTGACAGAGCGGGGTGACAGTTGGGAATAATCCGGATTTTCTACAATATAAGACCACTATCACACTGGTAGAAATAAACGATTTCATTTTACTTTATTAATCCAATCTAAGATATACAATATAATAAAAATATAAGCTTTTTTACAAACATGCTTTGTAAGTGGATCTAAAGGTTCTGTTCTTTCTATGAATATCCATACATTTACTTACATTTAGTATGGATAAAAATAGCATTAAAGCGATTAAATAGAAATCGTAATATACAATGTACAGTCAGCTACATAAATGTTGACAAAACTTTAAAAAACGCAGAGTTTGATTTAAAAATACTAAAAATTTTCGTAAATACACGAATTCTTGCATTTATTTTATCACCTTAATATTTACAAAATATATTTATACAGCTGATTGTAATATATATCTACATACGTATACTGCAGAGATATCTGAAATATATAATTTCAGTTTTTCTCTCAACTTAAAGGGAAAATAATATATTTTGTCTACGATTGTTTTGGTAGTGGAAACCTACAGTAAACATTTCAGTGAGAGTGTATAAAATGTACAATACAGGGTGTATAAAATAAACAAATTAAAATCTTACAAAGATAAAGTAAAAATGGAATGATCTTACTTTTAATGTGCCTCATAGCTTCTAAATAACACCAAAAAATATCTGCAACAAAACATAAAACAAAACTTAATAAAAAAATAAAACATAACTAAAAATAATTTTTATTATGACCATTACAAGATGTTGATAGGTTCTTGTCTAAAAAAACAGTACATAGAGTAAAGATTCTATACTTCTAGACTCTGAAAGGATAAAAAAACCTGATTAGTAAAACTTGTGGGTTTATACTGGTTTTAATTTAAAAATAAATAAAATAGTGTCTACGCGAAGTAAAAAATGTATGAAGCAAAAATTGTCATTAAAGACTCATTATTCATTACATTAGGTAAGAAACATTCTTGAGACACCATGAGTCTGTCCTACCACTGGCTGATAGAGGCTCAGATAGCTTAATAGTGATGTCACAGTCAGATGAAGTAACGAAATCCGATACTTCCATCACATATCCTATACGTTGGATTGTTATCTGACAATTTACAACGTTTTATCAACAATCCAACAGTTTACGCGCCTATTAACACAGAATATTTAATAGAAAATAGACAACAGAATAGTTTTTTACTCACCTCACCCTAACGCTCCCGCGGCGACGGACGCCAACACGACGAGAAGCGCAGTGGCGACGCCACTCGCGCCGACGGCGGCGCCGTGCACCGCGCCCTCGGCCGACTCAGAGCCGAACGCCTCAGCTGCTGACAACCACTCTGTCAAATAGTCGGGCGTCAGTGCGAACACGCACGCCGACTATACGCTAACCAATGGGCTTCGAGATTGTTTTTTTTTTTTATTTTGTCACTGGCCAGTGTCTTTTTTGTTACTGGCCAGTTGTTATTAGTTGTTTGATTATTTTAATTTAATACTGGTCTGTGCTTTTTTTATATGCCAGTTTTTAGCTTTTTAATTTTAAAGTTTGTATAAATTTAAGGATTGCCCAGTATTGTACAAATATTAAAAAAATACACAATTATAATTTACTTTATTTTTATATCTAAAAGAAACCATTGCCCATCATGCAATATGAAAAATAACTTTAATACCGTGACCATAGATATAAATAGAAGTGTATAGCCCATAGATTAGTATATAGCCCGCTAGATACATGCAGATGCTAGATAGGAAATAAATAAATTACATTTAAAATTGCCACAACACGAATAACATACGAAAAATAATTAAATATTAAATCTAAACGTTGGTTCAAATAAAATATACGATTGTGGCTAATTTTAACAATAAATGTACATAGAACACTTTTAAAATAAATGCAAAGAAATTGTGAACATACATATTTTTTTTATTCTTTAAAAGTAACCAACATTTATTTTAAAATGCAATAAAATATAAAAGAAAAAGGAAATAATAGTTCGACAAGAAATGTATAATAAATAAAATAATTTACAACACCCTATATAAAGCAAAAAAGCTGCTATACCAGGATATAATTAAAATAAATCTACAAGGAAGCAAATTATACAAAAAGATAAAAGAAAATAATTTAAGTAATTTACAGAGAACATATGATTTTAAAATGACTACTAGCTTTTGCTCGCGACTTCGTTTGTACGAAAATAAAAATAAATTTCTAATAATAAAACATCCAATCTTACTCAACGATAATGTAATTTTTTAATGATGAAAAGTAGTTTTTGAGTTTTACATACAAAAATACAAATATTTGTTATTCGTTTTTTTTTTTACTTCCTAACTCTTTCTTCCTAGTTTCCATTTGTTAGATTTAGAATACTCTAAAGATAAACGTGCGTTTAGATGTTTAACGTGTTTAAAATATATTTATTATTTTTTGTTCTCTGTTAATTATATATATTTTAATTTTTATATGTTAATTATGTGTAATAATTTTACATGATTTAAATAAATAAATAAAACCCCTAAAAGAATTTAATTTCCCTTCACTTTTAAAACTATTAACACACGACAACAACAAACAAATCTAAAATTGTATTGTAACAAGCAAAAAACAATGCTAAACATATATTCCCACTGCATAAAACACTATATGTACAGTCAGCTACAAATATATGTAGATTTACAAAACATTCACTTGTTTATTTTCAGAAATACCCTAAAGAATAACTGCCGCCCGCGACTCTTCGCGGATTTAAAACTTAATTAGTACTCTATGTTACAAATTTCATTTCTCAAAAATTGAGACGTTCTGGACCTAGTAACAAATATCCATACATTAAACATTCCTATTTTTGTTAGTAAAAAGTCATTTGTATTTCTTTGCTCCTTATGATTTTGTTACATTTTATAAATTTCTTTATATATGAAGCTGACTGTACATTGCTATCTCTTTTATACGCTTTGAATAAACAGAGATAGCATATATGTTTGATCGGCGAATGACTTTTAGTGTTACTAATTCTACTTATTGGTATACAAAATGAACTAAAATGAACGTACCATCTCCAACTGCAATGAACGAATGAATGAACAAAGAAATGTTTAAATTAATATGCTTGAAAAGCAAAAACAAAATTTAACGATACTATTATAATAAAGCGTAAAAACACACTTCTTTGTTGCTTAACATGTCAGCAATTACAGCTATTTTTGAATAATGCTTTTTTTAATAAAAAGTCCTACACGCTTAAGGCTATATATTTTAACGCCAGTAAACTTAGAGGATAAATATTTTGGATAAAACCCTAATGTGGGAAAGAGACCATAAGTTGCTGCCAACATCAAGGAAGCAAGGATGTCATCATGTCATGTCATTTTGACATTTGTAATTGTTAATTTGACATATATAAACAATAAAATAAAATTTTCATAATTTTATGCGGATGAAGTCGCACGGGAACAGCTAGTAAATATGTAAAACTACAAATTAGATGAAAAATTTGAAAATATCGCACTAAAGATGGGATAAAATGATTTCTAGATAATGTATTAAATATATGTTTAAATGTTAAACATAAATACTGCTGTTTTATGCCGATTTAAATAAATTTTAACTAGGTTTTACACGCGACTCCGTATTCGGAAATAATGAAAAAAACCTACGTATTACGTCAAATTTCAACAAGATCTGTTGAATTTTAGAGGTACATATCCATCCATCTAAAAAATTGCAATATTAGTAAAAAAATTAACAAAATCAGAAATGAGGTTATCCAAATGATAAGCGACCTTAACCCCTTATAAGGTCCTCACCTCCATATCTGTTGAGAAGGGCCATCACCACGCCATTGGTCCAGCCGAAGCCAGTCTGCAGAACATACTCGCCGCCGCCGCCGTACCCGCCGAATATTGTCGCGTCGTACTAAAAAACATATTTAAAAGTGAAAATACACTCAAAGTATACAATTACATCAATAAAAATTAAATAAAAGCATACAAAACGGACAACAGCAGTCTTAGGCCAGTTTTATTAAATATCAGTGTGTAGTTTTTGTAATTTATGTAGTTTGAAAGAAAATCTATGTAAACATAATAAATTAGTATCTCAGAAATATTATAAACTAGCTTTACCGGTAATGCTTCATCCGTGTGGAATTAAAAAAATAATAAAACAAAACCTATGTTACAGATAAGTTACCTTTTTAAAAGTGAAAGAATTTATCAAATTAGCCCATTAGTTTTAAGTAAATCAAATATATACAAAAAACTAATCTTTCCTCGAATAATGTTAAGTACTAGCTTTCGCCCGTGACTCCGTCAGCGTGGAATTAAAAAAATAGCCTATGTCTTTCAGATTATCCTCTACATCTATGACAATCATCGAAATCCATTCAGTTTAGGCTACAAACTAACAAACATCCATCTAAACTTTCGCATTTATAATATTAATAAGATAACTCCCCCCCCCCCCTATTGTGGGTTTTGAACTAACCTTTTCCAGCATAGCTGCTTTCTGCTTCCAGACTTCGAAGTTGGAGCGAACCCACTTGGTAGCCATTTCGTAAGCCAGGCGAGTGGCTTCCGGCAGCTTGGTGCTGGCCAGTCCAGTGACCACCATGTACTGGAGCGGCGGCCACGCGTTGGGGTAGTCCCACTGCTCGCCGGAGTGCTCGAACGTGGTGGGGATACCTCCCTCGTAGATATCCACCTGAAAAACAAAGTATAGTATATTAAAAATAGAAAAAATATAGCCTATGGTACTCAGTGATATAGCTTTTATTAATGCAAGAATTTGTGAAATCGCCCCAGTAGTTTTTGAGTTACTTCAATACATACAAATATACAAATTTTTCCTCTTTATAATGTTAAGTACTAGCTTTCGCTCGCGACTTCGTCCACGTGAAATTAAATAAAACAAAAATAAATAATCTCTGTTTTCTTCCAGACTATCCTCTACACCTATGCTAAATATCATCGAGACCAGTTCTGTAGTTTAGGCTACAAAATCTAGCAAACATCCATCAATCTAAACTTTCGCATTTGTAATATTAAGTAAGGAAGAATAAATAATAAGTAAGAATAAATAATAATAAGAAGAGAAGTTGAATTATAAAAAAATAAATAAAAGAGACTAGCTGTTGCTCGCGTCCTTGCCTGCGTGACATTAATAATATAGCCTATGTTACTAATAACGTAGTTTTTTAATGGTGAAAGAATTTGAAATCGACCCAGTAGTTTTTGAGTTATTTCAATACATAGAAAAATATAAATCTTTATATTAGTACAGATTAAAAATACTTTTATAGTTAAAACTTAACTATAAACTACTTTTATACTTAAACTTACATCGGGTAACACGATTGGATAAGATACGAAATGAGTATATTCGAGGAAGTTTGAGAGTAGTCCCAGTGGTTGAGAAGGTAAGGAGTAAAAGGTTAGAGTGGGGGCATGTTATGAGAAGGGATGAATCGCATGTAACAAGAAGGACGTTAGTTATGAATGTGGAGGTACATCGGTAGAGGTAGACCTAGAAAGAGATGGATGGATTGCGTGAAAGGTGACATGATCAAGAAGGGAGTGATGACTGAGATGACGGATGATAGAATGCTTTGGAGGACGAAAACCCGGTGCGCCGACCCTACGGGAGTAGGATAAGGCAGGGGAGATGATGAGTTAAAACTTACCTTGACTTTATCCAAATAGTTAATAACTCGTCTAACGAAGTACTCAGTTCTAGCTTTATCATAACTGCCTGTCCACAGCGGAGCGACATTGGAAGGGTAAAAGTAGTCCCTTCTCCGCTGAGACTCCAGACTGTAGTCTAACCAGACTCCTACGTCTTCGTGCCATAACACCTGAAAACCATCATCATCATCGTAAGCACTTTGCACTGGTATTTTTTTTTAATTATTTGGTCTCTTGTTGGTTTTTATATATGTAAGTGAAATATACATTTTTTGAAAAAAAAAAAAAAAACTAATTAGCTATTGCACGCGACTTCTGCTGTGGGAAATTAAATAAAAAAATGTAAGCGATAACATAGCTTTTTAATGGTGGTTTTTTAAAATCGACCCAGGAGTTTTTGAGTTATTTTTAATAAATACAAAAATACATATATTTCCTCTTGCAACTTCGTGTGAAATTAAATAATAAAAAAGCCTATGTAGCGATAACATAGCTTTTTAAATTTTTTAAATCGACCCAGTAGTTTTTGAGTTACTTTAATAAATACAAAATCCTCTTTATATTTTTATTACCTTTTCAATAGCCTCCATTAATCTTGCATGTGTGTTTCTGTAATATCTCTCTTTGTCAATATTTCCTAGCCTCAGATAAAAATCAGCCATTATCTCAGCGTTCCAGGACATTATAGCGTTTAGATCCACAGGTATTATTGACCTGGTTTTCAAATTTGTTAGATTACCTGGAATGTAATAAAAAAAGTATTTACATATATATCTATATTATTATAAAAAAGCGTGTACACACACTTCTTTGTTGCCTAAGATGTCGGCAATTACAACATATTTTTGAATGGTTCTTTTTTAATAAAAAGCCCTACACTTACGTTATGATTTAGGCTATATATTTTCAAGCCGTTAAACTTAGGAGTAATTGTTTAGGATAAAAACCCTAATGTGGGAAAGAGACCATAAGTTGCTGCCAACATCAAGGAAACAAGATTGCTAAAGTTTGTCACGTCATGTCATTTTGACATTTGCTATTAATAATTTGGCAAATGTAAACAATAAAATAAAGTTTTCATAATTTCATGCGGATGAAGCCACACGGGAACAGCTAGTATATAATAAAATTGGAGTGTCTGTTTGTAATATCAAAAGAAAAATTCCAGATTTCGGGAAGATGATGTATTTGCGTTGCTGATAACGAAAATCGCATTTAAAATTTTATTAATTTTAATATTGCAGAGACGAAGTCATGAGCAACTGCTAGTCATAAATAAATCAGATAACAATTTACTAATTACAATTTAGAGATAAAACTAGCTGTTGCTCGTGACTTCGCCCGCGTGAAATTAAAAAAAGTAATGAAAAGCATAGCCTATCTTACTCAAATATAACGTAGCTTTTTAACGGTGAAAGAATTTTTGAAATAGGTTCAGTAGTTTTTGAGTTTTTTCAATACATACAAAAATACAAATAGGAAAGATTTGTATTTTATAACATAGTAAAGATTAAAAATGCCAGAGTTCACAATCGACCGGTGACATAAATAATTACCTTTATTAGTTCCGTTCAGCACAAACCATCTAGAAGAGAAATCCCACCCGGATTCGGCTGCCGCTTTTAATTCTGCGTATAATTCTTCTTTTTTATCTGCTGTATCGAAATGTCTGTAAAAAACCAACAACAAAAAAATAATGACAACTTGTAATTTTTGGCAAAAAACTTTAAGATCTAAATGTACATTATTCTAAAAATAAAATAAAAATTGCTTATTGATTAATTATTTCATATAATATCGTGATTTTAAAGCATATGGATTTAAATTAAAAAAAAATTAATTTAAAATTCTGATCCCAAAAAAAAACTGAAAATTCCAATTACATAAGGTATTTGTAATCGCGAACTTTGTACAACAGCTTCGCTATTTCGGCGAATTTATGTGGCCGTTTGCTATCTATTGTTATAAAAAAACTTACTTAGCACAGTCTATATCTTCTTTGTAACTCTCTGGTCTCGGACCTTTAGAGCCATCTGCATATCTCAGCATTAAGAATCTGAAATTAATGTAAGTTCATAAACAAAAGAATTTAAAACTAGTTATTGCTCGCGACTTCGCCTGCGTAAAGTAAAAAAAAAATAATAAAAAACGCCTATGTTACTCACAGATTTACCTTTCTAATGGTTAAAGAATTTTCAAAATCGCCCCAGTAGTTTTTACGTGAATCAAATACATACAAAAATACAAATCTTTCCTCTTTATAATATTAGTACAGATAAGTATTCTATGTTATTCTAGACTTGCTGTTGCCGTGCGGCTTCTTCCGCATGTAATCATAAAAACTTTATTTTATTGTTTACATATCAAATTCTCAATTGCAAATGTCAAAATTACCATAATAACCTTGCTACCTTAATATTTTTTATCAATTAATTAATTATTGAAGAAATATTATAAAAAATAGCCTATGTTACTCAGCGATAACATAGCTTTTCAATAGTGAAAGAATTTTTGAAAGCCCCAGTAGTTTTTGAGTTACTTCAATATATACAAAAATACAAATCTTTTCTCTTTATATTAGGATAGATAACTTACTTTTCTCCGTCGTGTTCAACTTCGATTGTATGATTTTTCATCCAAAAGTCAAATTCTTTATCCAATGTATGTATATGTTGTTTTAGAAAATCAATATCAAAAGAATCCTCCATTATTGATTGCACCATGGGGATGAGAAGTGGGGGTTGTGATCTGAAAAACATTATAAAAAAATAAAAGAACAGAATAAAATTATTAGTTTTATTATCTAGCTGTTATTGTAAAAAAAAAGTATAACCTATGTAACTCAGTGATAACGTAGCTTTTTAGTGGTGAAATTTTTTGAATTAGCCCAGTAGTTTTTGAGTTATCCTAATGCATACAAAAATTAAAATCTTTCCTCTTTATAATATTAGTATAGATTGTTCGCAACTTGTCACTCACACACTTAAAAACACTTAATAAACATATATGTTATTTCAGACTAATACATACTATACACTACATTTGTGATGATATTATCTAAAATTTCGCATTTTTAATATTAGGTGAAGGTCCAATATACATTTTTAGACAAATTTCACAAAATTTGGGTTCATTTGCCTCTGATAATATTTTGAAATTAACTACTCATTAACGATAAATTAGTCTGTCTTATTGAAAAAGACAAATAGATTTCCAAAAACTTAATTTGATGCTTAAAATTTTCACAAACAGTTACACAGAGTGTTGGAGTTTTTATATGTTTGTATACTGGCAGGCAACACTGTACACACTCAGGATGGTTTTTTTAATTAGAATAATATATAATTTAAATTATTAAGAATTCTACATTTGATGAAATAAAGAGAGACTTCACATCTCGACACGGAACAAGTAACATGGTAGGACTAAATAGACTTGTATAAAATATGGTTCAGATATTTTAAATATAATGATGATTAACTAGAAGAAAGTGTTTCAATAGCCCCACACCTCCAGAACCCCGGACGGGGGAAAGTAACCGTCCAACACAGAGTAAATTCCAGGTTCTCCAATAGCTCTTAACTATTATAAACATATCCTAGAATATTCTACTAACCTCATAACATAGTATATTCTCCCACCGTTCGGTATAAGACCAATTCTGTCAACAATATCTAGGAAATTGGAAACCATGCCTCTAGCGGTTATCCTCATTTCTGATAGCAATAATCCTTGGATGATCCAATATGAATCCCAGTAATAAAACTCACGGAAACGACCGCCTGAAATAAATACAATACTTATAAACTAACTGTTGCTTGCGGCTTCATTTATAAATATAGCCTATGTTACTCAGTGACAACGTAACTATTGGTGAAAGAATTTTTGAAATCGCCCCAGTAGTTTTGGAGTTATTTCAATACAAAAATACAAATCTTTCCTCTTTATATCAGTATAAATAAGGTTGTTTAATTTAAGAAACAGGTTACAGAAATAGTGTATGTTATTTAGTGAAAATGTAGCTTTTTAATGGTGAATGATTTTTTGACATTTTCCCAGTAGTTTTTGAGTTCATTCGTTACATACAAAGACATCATTTTATTATTACTAGCTGTTGCTAGCGACTTTATTTACGTGGAATTCAAAAATAGTAAAAACATAGCCTATTTTACTAGTTGGTAACGTATCTATTGGTGAGAGAATTTTCGAAATCAGCCCAGTAGTTTTTGAGTTATTTTAGTACATACAAAAATACAATTTTTTCTTTTACAATCTCTAAAGTGGTTATCAGGTGATGGTTTGCACTAAAAAGTTTTCAATAACTCACCAGGCACAATAACCGGGTTATCAACGTAGATGATGGAATACAAATCCTGGTTCTTCTTCACCTCGTCTTTCATCTTCCTGCCGAGCTCCAGCCACAGCCGGTTCAGATCTGACGCCCACTGGTGAAGAAGTGGATCTTTGATCCTTTGCAGAAACGCTGAAAACGAAAATATGCTTGAATCAGATGAACAAATGATGATGGTTCATGTTTTTCTGATTAAATGATTTAAGTAAAGTGAACTTCAGTGCTTATTTTACAAATAAGCACCAAAGCTGAGTAAAGGCTTTATCCATTCAGCACTCCAAAGTTAATAAAATATCTGTACATTTTTTACACTTGCTAATTATGTTTGTGCTTTTTGTATATTCGATTATTCTGTTGTTCTGTGTTTTAACATGTATATGTTTTATTATTTTTGTTTCCTTAATCACTTATCTGCTACTTTTTTTACGTTCTGAATGTATTAAATAAGTTATTGTTAAAACAAAGAAGAGAGCATAAAACTTGCGATTTGTTTTTAGTTAAAATTGGACCGAGAATTATTTTTTTCCAGACCACAATGTTGTGCAACTATGATATGTAGTTAATTAGAATTTGATAACTACATGTTGAGTACATATTCCAAAATAGAGTAAATATTCATTATTGAAATAAATACATTATTGTTATCAATTTCTTTGTCCACGAACTTATCGCAGAGAAATACAAATATAACTGTAAGGGTAACTCATACCAAATTGTAAATTGTCTGATAACAATCCATGTGTAAATTATGTGATGGAAATAACGGATTTTGTTCCCTTATCTGTAACGTCATTTTTAAGCTATTTGAGGCTATATCAGCCAGTGGTGGGACAGGCCCTAAGAATCATACTAATATTATAAATGCGAAAGTTTAGATGGATGGATGTTTGTTAAAGTTTGTAGCCTAAACGGCTGAACGGATTTCAATGAAAATTGGTATAGATATAGAGGGCAGTTTGGAAGAACACATAGGCTACTTACTTTTGTTTTTTTAAATTCCACGCGGATGGAGTCGCGGGCGAAAGCTAGTACTAATATAAATGCGATAGTTTGAATGAATAATGGATGTTTGTTTCAACATATCTGTAAAAGGACTTAACAGATCTCGTTGAAATTTATCACAGACATGATCTGGAAGAACACAGATTACTTACTACGGTTTTTTTAATTCTCTCGAAGACGAAGTACGAAGTCCTGGGCAAAAGCTAGTAATTTTATATAGTGCTAGTTTTATCGTACTCGCTCTTTTAGACAAAAAAATACAGAATTTATAATTAGGGATATGCTAATCAAATGTTGCTTTATGGACAGACCAGATCGTTCTGTTGTATTTTGCTCTCTGTTTCTCTCTTTGATTAAACAAAGACAGCAATATGACAGTGGAGTTTCACAGACATTAAAATCCGACGAAAGTTATTGTTTTTACTAAGTTAGTAATTTCACTGCAATATGTCTAACTAGAAGCGTCACTAATCAATACTGAGAAATCGTTTGTTTACAAGTTATTAACAGAAAGGAAGTTTATTTCCATTTATTACACGATAAAATATATTTTTATATCGACTGAAACTATGGAACAATTTAAATAAATAGCTATATAATAGAATAGAAATAGCTTTCGATCGCGTGAAATTAAATAAAAACAAAAGTATACCTATGTATTCCAGACTTTGCTTTACTAAGACTTTCTTCGAGATCCGTTTAGTTTAGGCGGCAAACTAACAAACATACATCTAAACTTTCGCATTTATAATATTAGTAATTTTGTAACTATAATGGTTAAAGGTATAATTAATCTGGTCATGTTTATTGTAAGCAAACTTACCCGGATTATCCTTCCAATCAGTGGGCCTCCAGTCCTCAAATTCTGAACCCTCAGGGTCAAAGTTCTGGTTCACAAATTCCTGGATATCAGCTTTCGTTGGCTCCATTGGGTATAACCTGAAAATGTATGGATAAACTGTCATCCAAGGAAATCGTATAAAATCTTTTATCTATATACTAATATTATACAGAGGAAAGATTTGTTTTTTTTTTATAACATATGATGGCAAACGAGCAAGCGGCCACCTGAATCCGCCAAAATAGCGAAGCGACCGCTGCCCATAGACATCTGCAATTGGAGATGCGTTGCCTAACCTTATCCAACGGAGGAGGAGACGCACATAAGGAGGATATTTCCTCTTCCTATGCATCTCCTCCATCGTCAAATCCACTTCCCCTTCCCATCCTCTAAATTGTCTCTTGTATTTTAGTATGTATTGAAATAACTCAAAAACTATTAGACCGATTTCAAAAATTGTTGGACTATTAAAAAGCTATGTTATCACTAAGTAACATAGGCTATATTTTTACTATTTTTTTACTTCACGTGGGCGAAATCGCGAGCAACAACTAGTTATTCATAATTCTTAATAATATCATAATTGTGAAGTTTAGAAGGATGGATAATTGTTGGAGTTTGTAGCCTAAACGGCTGAACGAATCTCGATGAAATTTAGCATAGACGTAGAGGGTAGTCTGGAAGAATACATGGGCTATTCTTATTGTTTTTTTAATTCTAAATAAATTAACCCAAAATATTTGGATACAAGTTAAAAATGTTCATTTAAAGATATATTTTTTTGTCTTGATCATTCAAATATCAAGGGACTTTCTTGAACATTAAAGCATATCTAAAAATCAGAGTATATTAGTGTTAATAAAGAGCTAGAAAATTTACCTTTCCATCATCTTTCTAAAGTGTTCAAGGGTGATGTTTGGAGAGAACTTGATCTTCATATCGACGAAGGTCTTGGAGTCGTTGTAGAGGCCAGCCATCTGCACCGTATGCAGCAATGGCCCGTGGCAGTAGATTAAACTGCAAATATATATAGATTAACAGTGGTTTAACTGCATTTATGTGCTTTGCCCTGATAGAACTATTCTTACGTTCCACTTAACAAAAAAAAAACTTTATTAATTTCCCCCTTGGGCAGGGGACTGGTGTCCAAACTAACTTAATGTGTGCCAAGTCTAGTCGTCTACCCTTTCTCAGAGTTTTCTAAGGTGAAATGAATAGTAAGAGAAGTTAATGTCGAGGAAAATAAAAAGAAACATTTCTCTGTACATTTTGTCTTTTTGCAGTTATTACAACGGTTAGGTATGTATGGCGGCTACAGGTGGCCATTTGCCACCTTATAATATAAAAAAGTAAAAATTTACACATGTGAAATACACAAGTGCCAGTAAAAACCTGGCAATCATATTGGATACTTCAAATTTTGTGTGAATGACACTACAGAACCTATGCTCTAGTCAAGGTTGCTGGAGTTCACTCGAAGGGCATCGACTATAGTAGACTACCAGTATTATACGAAGTAACACAGCAAGGAAATTTCAATGGGCTTATTGACCTGATCACTTAGATCCAGACATCAATCAGACAATAGCATTAAATTACAATTGATCGTACAAACATCGGCTATGCAAAACAAATATTACAATAGCTTGTAACCGAGATATCGGTGCAACCGGTTCTATCCGGTATCTCGTCAGGTTACTGCCTAAGCTTGTGTAAAGAGAACGCTATTTACAAATGTAACTCGTGTCATAGATTACTACTCAAGTCTGTGACCTTGTTAAAGATATTCAAGTCCACCAGACTTAACTGAACTGAAAGAGCGTCGGTGGCTCAGTGGTTTAAGCACTTGACTTGTAATCTACAGGTCTTGGGTTTGCATCTCGCCATGTACCAATGTGATTGTCGGTTTTTCGAATTTTCATACGTACATAATTTACCCGACGTTCTTACGGTGAAGGAAAACATCGTGATGTCTGCACATATCGCCGAAGAAATTCAAAGATATGTGTGAAGTCAACCAACCCGCAGTGGGCCAGCATGGTTGACTATGGCCTAGTCACCCATTATAAGGGTAGGCTCCGAGCCCCTCGGTGGAGACATATAGTAAGCTGGTGATGATGACATTAGTCGGTTCAACACCAGTTGAGAAAGGAAAACCCTTGTCTCGGATCATAGGTCATCCAGATGGACATGACTAAGTGCACACGGCGGGAAGTATGGATCACACTCTGTGGAAGGTCTATGACCAGCAGTGGGTAGACAAAGGCTGATGATGTATCGGCATTCGAAATAATCTGTCTTTAGAGCACACCTTTGGCTAACCTATCGCATAATTGTTGAGCGATTATCGATTTTTTCGCAGCCAATTCAACTGTTTAGTTGCATAACTTAAACTCGAGTAGTGTGCGCACCTCCATATAAGCTCATAACAATAAAAGCGAGACTAAAAAGTTGTGCGATAGTTTAGTCAAATGGTAGTGTTCTAAAGTGTATGCAATTTTTTTTTCTATAATTGTTTCTAAACGATTTCTTCTTAAGTGATAAGGTGGTTTGTGATTGACAGACGACAGATGGCATATGTTTGCATAGCACATGCTTTGTCGCGAAAACGGATCTTTAGAGTTTCCTTTCTCAAAGACCGGAAGCGTATCTCAGTTATGCTGTGTCTGGTATTAGATGATCTATTGCTCTGCGTATATTAAAAACATTAAATTTTCTCTTGTAACAGTATAAAAGCAAGTTTAATATGACATTTATGTCTAGTGTGTGTGGTTTTCAATTACCAGTTGTCAAGGCCATTTAGTTTCCGGTTTTTAATTTATAATGCGTGGTTACTGAATTGCAATATTATAACAAAGCTACTAAGTGAATGTAGATAACTTAAATGTATATACTTAGGATTTTTATACAAACTAGCTTACATAGTAACGTCAAAAATTAGAGAAAAATCAATATTTAAAGTAATAATACATTCCATGCTATTTTAGCTATTTCAAGCGAACTCGCGAATCGATGGCCATTCATGTGTTTCAAGATACTATCAGACGAATATTGAAACGACATTTATATAACAGTCTTAAATGATAAGGCCACGCTTAAACTAATATCCATTAAAATTGACGTCTATCAGATAGTAAGCAATGTTTAGAAAGAAGAGTTTTTTCGTTTCAGTATTTGGCCGTTTTTGTACTAATCTTACTAATATTATAAACGAGAAAGTATAGATGTTTGTTAGAGTTTGTAGCCTAAACTGCTGAACGGGTCTACATGAAATTTGGCATAGACGTAGAGGATAGTCTGGAAGAACACTTAGGCTACTGACTTTTGTTTTTTTGACCTCCACGCGGACGGAGTCGCGGGCGAAAGCTAGTAGAATAATAAAAATGGTACTCACCTATCACAAGTAGGTGGTAGGCCGTTCCTGTCGGCCGCCACCAGGCCAAGCACAGCGGCGATAACGCACCAAGTATTCACCATTGTTATGGCACGTCACTTAAATAACTTAAGACTAATATCACTCGAATAAAACTAAATAAATAGAGGAACAAAATTCACTAACTTAAAATCACTTTAAAAGTTTGACTTTGGCTTATTTGCTGATTGTCCAATTGTCTTTATTTACGTGTTCAAGAATGTGTTTAGAATTTTAAACGGCTTCCTACGGAAGGGTTGGCTTGTCATTTTGGGCGTTATGGCGACGATTGGACCTCCTCGGTACACGGCACCCCTGTGCCGAAATTCATCTGTAACAAGAAATAATTTAACTAAGTAATCTTTACAAATAATATAAACTAGCTGATGCTCGCGACTGCGCCCTCGTGAAATTAAAAAAATAATAAAAAAATGGTAATCACTGACAACGTATTTTAATGGTGAAAGGATTTTTGAAATAAGCCCAGTAGTTTTTGAGTTATCTAATACATAAAAAAATACAAACCTTTCCTTTTTATAACATATTTTAATTTCATTTGTATGTATTGAAATTACTCAAAAACTACTGGACAGAATTAAAAAAAAACTTTTACCATTAAAAATGAACTTTTTCAATAACTGCTTAATAGGCTATATTTTAAATTCACGCAGACGAAATCGCGAGCAATAGCTAGTCATAATATGAATTTTCGATTTGTTAGGAATAATAAGCAAACATCAACATTTAAAAAAATCAATAAACCCGACTGCTTAAAATACGAACATACACGAAAACATTAAAAAATATTTAAAAAAAAGGTTATGGTGAGTTTCAAACGACACGCAAGAGTTCTACACCACAATCGAACAGTCCATTTATTTTGTAAATATGCGCTACGTCACTCTATCCATTGTCATCGCAAATTGAACTCAATAGCGCTATTAATAAAATCTAATATTGCTAAATATCTACGTCAATCATCAATGAAGCCTGGCGCCTTGCAACACCAAGCGACGCGACTAATCAATCCAGACGAACTTCTGACGCCCAGAAACGTCTGTAGGAATTAATGATTTTTTATTGACTACAAACCAATATTTATTATGTCACAGGAATATTAAATGTAATTACAGTTACAAGCCAGCTGTTGGATTACCAACCCGCAGTGGGCCAGCGTGGTTGACTATCGCCTAGTCACCCCAACTGAGTGTAGGCTCCGAGCCCCTCAGTGACGTATGATGATGGATGACTATCGAATTACTGTATGAATGTCTTTGCTTGGAAGTGAAAGGCTTCGTTCAGACTTAAACGCAACTGTAGAAAACGACAACAGGAAGATGACTCCGAATACAATAACAAAGTCATTTACTTATTTAAACGTGTGTGATTTGATTTATATGTCCTTACTTTTTACAATTCTAATATTAAACAAGTCAGTTTCTGAACCACTGATAGGAGTAGACGTCATCAGCGGACTGTCGTGTCAATGTACATTTTAGTCACCCACACAACGCGTCAACTACGAGCATCCGTTCCTGAGACACAATTGAGTGCAATTGAAAGATTGGCTTACCTTCTGGTCAACCTTGGTATATGCTTTCCAAATTCAAGATCCGATTTTAGAAAGAGATACAGAGTGGGAAAGAGACAGGGAGAATCGATATTCAGTCGTGGTAACTGATATAGGATCTAATTTTCAACTGCCGTAACAGATATTTGGATTTAAAATCAAAGCTATGCTCACATAGACCTACAATTGTTTCGTAAGTAAATAGGACGAGAAACAAAAAATAATAATTTTAATAAAGTTTAGATGAATAAATTGTTTTAATTCCTTCCAAAAGATATGCCCAACTCTAGCCAAATATCTCTACTATTATTACATACTAGCCGTTTCCGTGCGGCTTCATCTGCATGAAATTATAAAAATGTTATTTTATTTTTGCATCTGTCAAATTCTCAATTGCTAATGTCTAAATAAAAGCCCCTTAAGTTTAATAGCCTGACTTTTTATTAAAGAAATATTAATTCAAAAATATGCTGTGATTACTGAAATTCTACGCCACGAAGTAGTGTGTGTTTACGCTTTATTATATTATAGTGTGTATATACTTGTATGTATTGGTTTATATTACAATTTATTACAATATAAATCACAACACTGTATCAATTAACAGTAGGCGTTGATTGTAATCCTCGCCAACTACGTAAATGTTAGCGAATTCCCAAAGCACATGACTATGATAAAAATAGAACAATGAGTTTCTCGTCACTGACGCTAGGGGGCACGTGAGCGACACACCTACCACCTACATTAATGTAAATAGTTACTAATCTATATTAATGTTATAAAGAGGAAAGATCTGTATTTTTTTATTTTTGTATGTATTGAAATAACTCAAAAACTACTGGGTCGATTTAAAAAATACTTTCACTGTCAGAAAGGAAATTTATCTGTGAATAACATAGGCTATATTTTATTATTACTAATGTTGATAACTATTAATAAACAACATATTTCTGGAGCCCGGCGTTAAAAAATTACGATTTAACTTTTTTTTCTTTATATGTACATTGGGCTTTAAAATAAACTAATATTTCCAATATGTTTTTTTTTTATAACTGAAGAAGTTAAAGCTATTTTAAAAGAAAGAAGTTAGCAAACACAACCCGATTCCATTGGCTCGAGGTTAATTGTATATTTCAGTACGCTAGTTTAGGTAAATGACAACTTACTTACATTAAGTTCGCATAGTAAATATTCAATTAAACATTGCAAACATTAATAACATCGAGATATTTCTTAATGCGCACGTGAGCTTTAAAATTAGAACAAATTAAACGCAAGACGCAAGTCACCATCATACGCGAGTAAAGTCACGTGAGCTATACACCTCCCAGAATTGAATTAGGGTTGTCAACGATACCCCCGCACAGTTCGGATTTTTCCAATTCTCTACTCATTTATACTAATACTAGCTTTCGCAAACGACTTCGTCTGCGTGGGATTAAAAAAGTAAGTATCCTATGTGTTCTTCCAGACTATCCTCTTCATCTATGCCAAATTTCATCCAGATCTGTTCAGCCGATTAGGCTACAAACTCTAACAAACATCCATCCATCTAAACTTTCGCATTTATAATATTAGTAAGATTATAAAGAGGTAAGATTGTATTTTTGGATTTTCGTATGTATTGTAACTCAAAAACTACTTGACCGATTTAAAAAATTCTTTTACCATTAAGAAGCTACGTTATCACTGAGTAACATAGGCTTTTAACAACTTGTAATGATATGAAAAATCGATTTAATTAGGGGACCATACATGTTCATACTAATTAAGCGACAAAAAATTGGACGATTAAGAGTCTAGTATACTTTTAATATCCTTTTATATTGCAATGATTTTGTTTTTGTCAGCAAAGAAAACAACTTTTGAAATAAGTAATATGGTATTTTTATGTTATTTACACATGCACCGTATAAAATTGCGTTTAAAATGTAATTTTAATATAAACATAACTTTAGCGTGCCAACCCTAACAGGGTCGCAGTGGCGTGCGTGCGGCGGCGCACGTGAACGGGACACTTTCCAAACGGTCACACCCATCAAATAAGTCAATGAATACTTATTTACAGTAGAATCTCGATAACTTAAAACCCTCCATAACTTCAAAAAATAATATTCCCTTCACATCAGAGCCTAAAACCTATAGAACTTTAAATATTTTTTGTTTCCCTTGGACTTTAACTTATCGAGTATCTGTATATGATAAAAGCTTTAAAGATTGTTTTTTTAAGGATTTCCAAATAGTTTAATGTATGCAAATATTTTCTTTGCTAATTTACAGTGTGAGATGTCGCAATGGTTCAAAACTTAATACTCTTTACTTATTTCTATTTTGTTACATTTTGACGTGTAAATATGAGTTTTGATACATTTTAAGTCGAAGTGACGATTTCTTGTTTTTTTTAACATAAATAAACCAGCGCTTGACCACGATTCCACCTAAGAACTAATGAAGACGCAACCGAATGCGTGGCAAACTTAGCTAACATTTAACAAAAGAGAAGGATACTTGGAGTAGGACAGTCACGGGCGTCAGCTAGTCATACTTCATACTTTTATTGTAAATGCCAAGTTTGGATGGATGGATTTCATCACGAATGGCATAGATGTAGAACATAGTTTGGAAGAACGTAGACTACTAAATAAGTATATGAAATTCTGGACGGAGTAGCGGTCGTAAGCCATAAATGATTATACGTATGTTAACTTAGTTATAAATAAAGGTATTATCACGTGTTGTTTATCAATCACTTCACTCACTTCTGTCACACCCCCAAACATATTTGCGTCAATTGATCTGGTATGGTGTGATTTTCTTCTTGGCGCGCATCTTGGCATTTCGCCTAAATAATTTAATTCCGACGTAAATGTATATCACAATTGTCCAATACAAAAGCGATTGAACGACCGGCCTCCAAATCAAGACAAATGTCGGCTCTCGGCAAATGCTGCGATTTACACCTTTTTTTATACTTTTTTAAACTAACATATAAATATATTTGTATCCCAGCTTCGCACGGGTTCAATGCTGATAGGAAAATGTGTTACGACATCACATGAAAAACCACTAAAATCAGCAATATTTCTCTATGTTACATAGGTACTAGCTTTCTCCCGCGACTACGTGGAATTAAAAAAAAAAACAACAGTACACTATGTGTCCTTCCAGACTATCCTCTACATCTGTACCAAATTTCACCGAAATCCGTTCAGCCGTTTAGGCTACAAACTCTAACAAACATCCATCCATCTAAACTTTCGTATTTATAATATTAGTTACATTGGATATGAAATATGATAATACATATAAACCTATCGGCGAAGAAATACAAAGATATGTGTGAAGTCGACCAACCCGCAGTGGGCCAGCGTGGTTGACTATGGCCTAGTCACCCTAACTTAGGGTAGGCTCCGAGCCACACGGTGGAGACGTAATGAGCTGGTGATGATAATATAAACCTGCCTCTTTTATTACTCTACACGTCAAGCAATGCATTTAAATTCATTGCGTAGTTTAAATCTAAGCATTCTTAAAGACAGCGGGACACGACATTTAATACTATGTATTATGAAGTTATGGTTGTATTCACTTTCATTAAAATTTAAAGGTGTGTCTCAATGAAATCTAATTATGGACAAATGTAAACATTACTATTTGAAGAGATAATTCTTGGCAGTTCGAGTTGGCAATGATGCAAATGTTCTGTCTCGAATACAGTAAATTTAATGACCAACCAGTGTTCACTTGCCAAGATATGTTGA